TTGATTCAGGTGGTCTGGGAAACGGCCCAAGATTCTGCAGTTCTAACAAGCTCCTAAGTGGTGATGCTTTGCTGAAGGTCCATTGGCCTTACTGTGAGTTCCGTGCCTTTCATGGAGCCAAGTGCAAAGCTTCACCCAACCTCTGCAATGATAACTGTCTACCCTCAAGCCTGGAAATTAATTGCTACTGTCAAAGGACGCATTTGACAGAAACAGAAACAACACTGACCCATGAATGTGTGCCATGTTAAGAACTGGATCATGTCACTCTGTGGTGACCTGGGAAAGCATGCAGAAGACATCTTCGTGGCGGTGAGGGAATTGAAATTCCAGGAAGAGAGAACCACCGTTAGAGGTTAGGATTCTCACCCACTGGGTGCCTCAGACGAACTAAAACAGCCAAAGTCAAGGAGACAAATTCTCTTTCTCTAATCAAGGAAGTTGTACTTTACCTTGTAGGTATTTAGGATTCACCGAAGAACTGGGAAACTCTTAATGACATATTCCCCTTTGGAAAACTAACCATCAGAATTAGATGCCTGGAATTCAAGGATAATACTATGTTTATTTGAGAGTACTTGAAAAAGTTTTTGGAAAATGGAATTAAAAGATGAGTTTATTTTGGTGCAACAAGTTTTTAAAAATCCATACTTTTGGGAGTAATATTCATTTTCCATGAACCTTTTGAATACCCCTGGTGTATCCACCATTTTTCATGACACATTTAAAAATTCATTAAATTCTGTTTTAATTTATTTATTTTCATGTTATTTAAAAGGCAGAGACAGAGATCTTCCATTTGCTGGTTCACTCCCCAGATACCTGCAACAGCTAGGGCTGGACCAGGATAAAGCCAGGACCTAAGAACTCAGTCATCTGGGTCTTCCACATGGGTAGCAAGAACCTTTCCAATGAAGCCATCATCTTCTGCCTTCCAGGTTGCCCATTAACAGAGAGCTGGATGGGAAGCCCAGTTACTCCAGTTTGGGATGTGGGCATTCCTGGGAGTGACTTAACCAACACCAAGCACCTAACTCTGAGTTCATTCATTCATTCATATGTCTTTATTTTTTTAAATGCATTTAGCTAAACATTATGTGTTTATCTGTTTTCTGGCAAACATCTTTAAATTAATCAAGTAATGTTACATGTTTAAACTGAGAAATGTCAATAAATACAAATAGTTCATTATCAACATCCATAGCCTAATAACATGAGTATCCTTGGGTGGCTAAGATTTGCGATCTCCAAAATTTATGAAGTTTTCAAAGATAATACACCAACAACTCAGCCAAAAGTTAAAAAATCTCGTACCAGACTTTAAAATTCTCTCTTAGTGTTAAAAAAAAATTCTTGGGGCCGGCGCCCCGGCTCAATAGGCTAATCCTCCACCTAGCGGAGCCGGCACACCTGGTTCTAGTCCTGGTCAGGGCACCGGATTATGTCACGGTTGCCCCTCTTCCAGGCCAGCTCTCTGCTGTGGCCAGGGAGTGCAGTGGAGGATGGCCCAAGTGCTTGGGCCCTGCACCCCATGGGAGACCAGGAGAAGCACCTGGCTCCTGCCTTCGGATCAGCGCAGTGCGCCAGCCGCAGCGCGCCAGCAGTGGCAGCCATTGGAGGGTGAACCAACGGCAAAAAGGAAGACCTTTCTCTCTGTCTCTCTCTCTCACTGTCCACTCTGCCTGTCAAAAAAAAAAAAAAAATTCTTTCAGGAACTGTTACTGTGGCATAGTGGTTAAGGCAACCACCTGAAATACCAGCATTGCAGATCAGGGCTTATTTGAGTCCTCCACTTCGGATCCAGCTTCCTGTTAATGTGCCTGGGAAAGCAGTGGAGGATAGCCCAAGTGCTTGGGCCCCTGTACCCAACTGGGAAACTCTGAGGAAGCTCCAGGCTCGTGGCTTTGGATCTCAGCTTCAGTCCTTGAGGCCATTTGGGGAGTGAGGCAGCGGTTGCAAAAACTTTCTCTCTCTCTCTCTGCCTCTGCCCCTGCCTCTTTGTAACTCTGCCTTTCAAATATATAAGTAAATCTTTTTTGAAAAAAGTTCTTTCTAAGTTCCCTTTTCCATGATTGAAAACTGCAAGACAGATTTAAAATTTAGAATCTCATAGTCAATGACATTTGATCCTTGGCAGGCTCAAATTTTGTTATTTAGTAATTTTTTTCAAAGATGCTTCTGCATCATATCAGTAGGTAGAAGATATTCTAAGGTTAAGTTCTAATTCAGAGCCTTTTCATTTTCTGCTAGCATTATCCCTTCCATTCGATAAATTCCAAGGTTCTACGAAAAAGGCTGTTATATATGCATTTGTGTATGTGTTTGTGTGTGTACACAAATATAAATATATACCTAAATACCAATTCTCTTGTCTAAATAAAAGTACAGAATATATATATATATGAATATAAATATACACATATATAAAATACATATATTTAAGGAAATTGGAAAAACCCTGCCTTCTTGATATGTAATTATAAACATACAAATGTATCAGGAGAACAAACATTAGGTAGAGATTCCTTCTTTGCGCAGAGAATTTCCTGGATCTTTGCTCTAGAAGAGCCATTATTTAATATATTAATGTGGACTCTAGAGAATGGAAGCCCTAGGAAACCTGTGACTGTGGCCAAGGCCTGGTAAATTAACAATTTACCCTTTTCCTAACAGTAGAATACAACTCTGAGGATGCAATTGATGGACAAAATGATAATATCTGTAATAATAATTCAAAATACAGGCAAAACAACTGGAAAAGGGAATGATCACTGTAGGCAGTTGCAAGTGAACACACAGAATAGTACATGACCACATATTAGGCAGTGGGTACGGGAAGCGATGACTCAGGAGACGAGTCCAGTACTGGATTGGCCCCATGGTCGCTGCACGAGAGTCACTTTAGAAACATGGATCCTCCCATGAACACCTTTTGCAGTTCTCAGAGGGCAGCTGCAGGTTCTAATGATGACCACTCCATGAAATCAAGAGGGAAAATGAGGGTTATTTGATCACAAACACTGAGCTAACTCAGACAGCTACTAAGTGACTAAATGGGGGGTAGTGTATACATCATGGATACAGTAGACAAAGGGATAATTCCAGGAGCAGGATGGCTCAGGGTTTCATCAAGCTACTCAGAATAGCTCACAATTTAAAACTCTTACGTTTTTGACTTCTGAAATTTTCCATTTATGGTTGACCAAAGGAACTAAAATTCTGGAAAGCACTAGAATTCATGGGTGAGCAGTGACTGCTGTACAGAGCTGTGTGTTCTGTATGGGGCAGGAACCATATTTGATTATTCGTTTTTCTGGGTCAGTGGTGACCCTGTCTCTCAGAGCTGTTTCCTCTAGTGCTGATGAACAGAAATCTGCAGCTAAGAGTGAGCTGAAAGGATTGGGCAAAACATGACGACACTTACAGCCAAATGAATCTGAAAAATGTAGTTTTAGAGACATGTTTGTAGACACCTGATTGCCTTTATTCTTGTTCCACTAATGATTTTGGAAACAATTAGAATTCCATAGTAATTTTAACCTTTATCTGATGAGTCAATGCTAGCTGGCAATGTGAATAGAAAAGAATGCATGTTTGAAGGGAATGCATTAATAGTTTACTAAGACAATGACATGTATCAATTACTAAGTCTTACCAACATGAAGCAATAAATGTTTCTTTAGTTGACACACTGGTGGAGTCACGTTGACTGGCAACACCTGAGCTCATGGGTTTCTCTGTGGTGCACTGTGGGTCAGCTCTGCATCCCGGCAGGTGCTGCTGGTGACTGACCATTGATGACCTAATAACAGCCTTGGCGTTAAGGATGGCTCCCTGCTTCAGGAGCCTGGCCTGGGCGTGTTCAAATAGACAGCCCCAATGCTTACATCCATATCAAGCTTCTGCTTATATCCCATTCGCTAACATCTCCCTGGCTAAAGTCATTCCCATGGGGCCAGACTAAGAGCTGGGGAGTGAGCTCCACAAAATTACCTGGCAAGGGCAGGAATGCGTGGAGGGGCCAGGATTGAAGGCCATGACTACAACCAATTTTCAACAGAACACATTTTCTCAGGGGGAGATGGAAGAAGGATCTCCTTTCATCTTCAGACTGTAAACTTTGAATTGATATGTACTTTTTTCAAACGCACGCACTAACAAACCAACCCTCCCAGCCACCTCAATGTATTGACCAAGTTTGTTAGGCAAATAGAATTTTCCATTGGGGAAGGAATGTAGAGGCGCACATCAGTCCCCAGGGAATAAATAATTCTGCCCTGTTGGGTTTTCAGAAATTGCCATCTGGTAATATTTCAGTTGAAAGAAGAGTTCTGGTTACTTTTTCCTAGAAAATAAATTCACATAAAGACCATGACAATCAGTCTATGATTCATGAGTTACGACCATGCCTTTGACTATATTTTATCTTGTGGCTTCACTAAATATTCACTAACTTGTTCCCCCTCAGATGCTGATGAGATTTTACTGGAGTGGAAAGGGTTGGGTGAAGGATCAGCTTCTAGCCTTTTTGAAATGCAGAGGATGAATGAGAAAACAAAGCTAATTTTGGTTGCAATTAGCCAAATATCTCCCTCTTTAGGACAGAGCTCCGTCTCTTTCCAAAAGCAAATCCTGTGTTTCCTACAGGGAAAGCACAGTTGCCAGAGGGAGAAATATTTAGCCCCACACAAATAGCAATCAGGAATATGTCTGTAACACGACTAGCAGGGCGGATGCTTGCCTCTTTACTTCTAAGGCGAGTTCACATTCTGCCTTGACTGATTATTTTTCAGCAATATTTATTATCTTCTTTTAAGGTCTGCCAGTACCGTTTTGAAGCCCAGTTAGAACAGCAGCCAAGACTGAAAGGGGCCAAATATCTCTCCAGAACCAAAATGTTACTTCAAAAGATATTCATTACAAAGCACTACTGCGACTCAAATGATCACTTATTTTGAAGGGGAATTTGCTAATGTAAAATTGGTTTCTTGTCTTTCCAGCCCCCAGTGAGCCTTTACTGTGCAAATTCGCAGATGGAGGACAAAAGAAGCGCCAGAATCAAGGCAAATATACCCAGAATGGGAGGCCTTGGCCCAGGGAAGGGGAGGTGAGTCCTGGCTGACAGCTTGTGCTTAGAGACTTGGCATTGCTCAGAAGGGCGGAGAGACACACATCCCCATGGAAAACCAAATGGCCTTGAAAGGGCCCAATGAGCAGGCCTGTATTGTGTTCAGGATGAAAGAACTGGAAGAGGAGTATAGGACTTCAACATTGGCCTCATTTCTGCACGCACTAAGTCTTCTGTCTTTAACCACAATTGAGCCCAAAAAGAAGTCACTGAAAGACATAACCGTAAAGAACTGATTTGTAATTGTATAAGAATTATAAAATAAAGATATGAGTTAGAAAATATTTTCAGTGAAATAAATATGGATAGAAGAATGTTTGTATTTTAAAAAAAGCAAGAAAATATTGAGATTTATTTCATCCTGTTTCCAATAAGCTACTTGCAAATATGCATGTTTACGCATATGCCCATATGTTCAGTATGTGCTGTTGGTCTCCTGTTGACTATCTATATATATATATAAGAGGACATTGCCTGTTGGTGAGTAATGAGGAAGAAAATTGATATATACAATGAAAATAAAAGGCATTTTGCCCCCTAATACACACTGGTAGAAAGGCCAGCTTATGGACCCAAGCCACTGGGGACTGGATTTCCTTGAATTGCTTTTCTGGTAAGACAGGGAAAGCATCTCTGGTCCTCTATAAGGACTTTTTATTTGTGAAAAGCAATGGAGTTGTTTGTATGACTAAAATAAATGTCATTTTGTGCCCATGCCCTAATTTCAATAGAAGAGCTTTCTTCTTAAGATTTAGTTATTTATTTGAAAAGTCAGAGTTACACAGAGAGAGGAGAGGCAGAGAGAGACAGAGAGAGGTCTTCCATCCACTGGTTCACTCCCCAGCTGGCTGCACTGGCCGGAACTGCACCCATTTGAAGCCAGGAGCCAGGAGATTCTTCCAGGTCACCCAGGCGGGTGTAGGGACCCAAGGAGGTGGGCCTTCTTCTATTGCTTTCCCAGGCCGAAGCAGAGAGTGGGATTGGAAGAGGGGCAGCTGGGACTAAAACCTGTGCCTATATAGGATGCTGGCAACATAGGTGGAGGATTAACCTACTGCACTGCAGCACTGGCCCAACATTTTATATTTTTAATACGGAGAGAGCAGTTGTAAGAAAGATAGGGTGTCAGTATTGTTCTCAGCAAAACCTTAGCCATTTTACAGTTTCTGAGATTGTCTGTTTTTAGTATTCCCAAGCAGGTCTCAAATCTCCAGCTTAAGTATATAGTTACATTCAAGTAGTGTATAATCTACAACTCATTATAGTAAGATGTGAAAAACACAATCATCGCTGAGAATCGGAAGCTAATAAAAAAGGCAAGAATTGCAATATTTTCAAATTTAGAAAGGCAGTTTATATTATGTTCTGATAAAGAAATGGGGGCATTGATCCATGTGTCTTTTGTGTGCAAATTACTGCATATGCAAGTAACCTCATTACCTCCAGAAAATAGCTGGTGCCTCATTGCGTTCATCACATGCAACTTATACCAAACATCCACAGTCTAGGAAAACTCCTTTGACTTTTGGAAATTGGTTTGGATACAATATCTACAGAATAGAGAGAACTTCAGATCACAGACCAAATGTCCTGAGACACAACTACGTAACCTAGCAAGGACTGAACATTTACTTCCTGTCTCCCTAAGAATCTGTAATATTACTATCAAATAATAAATGGCAATTATAGCAGGACACTTCACTTGAGTCTGCATTTCTTGGAAACCGAAATAATAAACAGAAAATAAATCCAGAGTTACACTGCCATTTTGCTATTGTATATAAAAATGTAAGGCTTTTGGTTCAATGAAAGAGAAACACCATAGGTACTATGGCATGAAATGATAGTGGAATTAACTGTAGGACCCAGAGCACCATATCATAGAGAAGTACTTTTTTTTCTTAAAATTTTTATTGATTTGTTTTCATTTGATTTGAAAGGCAGGAAGACAGAGACAGACAGAGATCTTTTGTTTGCTGGTTGACTCCTCAAATCCTAGCAACTGCCAGTACTGGGACAGGCAAAAGCCAGGAGTCTGAAACTCAGTTTAGGGATCCTGAATGGGTGGCGGGGACGTAAGTGCTTGAGCTGTGTGCTCCTGCCTCCAAGGTGTGCATTAGCAAGAAGCAGGAATCCGATGTGAGCTGGGACTGCAACCCACATGCTCCCAGTTGGCCCAAGCAGTGTTTTAACCACCACTCAAATATATGACCACAGACATAGTTATTAGAGGTTTGTTTCTCATCTTTGTAAGTTAAGAGCTATATAGATTTTCCTATTGAACTATCAGAACCAAGAGGCCATACCAAAGTTATCTGTGACCAAAATAAATAAATAAATAAATAAATAAATAAATAAATAAAAAATAAATTCTGCATGTGTAGACATTCACAAGGAAAGAGATAAGGAAAAGAAATATCATACTTTAGAAATAGGCTTATGAAATATTTTGGTTGGAGAATCAGCCTGTTAGTTTTTTACATCTTGCTTGTGGTCTTTGAAATAGACACAACTAAAATGTTGGGTAATTTTGTGAACCCACATTCTATCTGTTTTGTTTCTATTTCCCCTTACATTTAACTTGCTAGAATAATTCAAAGTATATGTGCATGACTGATGAAGTATAAAATAATCCAAATTAATTCCATACAAGCCATTTTTAATTAATTTTATATATAACTAAATTCTAATTACTGCATTTTATTGATTTTAAGACACATGTTTTGCACTAATGTTTTTCCTCACTTCAATACTTTTGAAATTGGTTCTCCTCATGTAATGAATGATATCTTAGAATACAATTTGTGTTTGCTCCTGTTAGTCACCTGGGAGTAAAAGCTACATTCTCTCCTTAAGGTCTTCGACCACACTGATTGCATGAATAAAGGCGCTAATCAAAGCAAGAACACTGGGTCAGCTCCTCAGAGAGAATTTGTCTCTCTTTTTAATCCAGTGTCATGACTGACACATGCAACTTTCCTTGAACTCCATTTCTGATGGGCGATTTTGTTTCTCTTTTACCTTGACACTGGAGTTGGAATCTCAGTGTTGTAAGGAGATCCTTTGGGATGTTTGACTTCAGATATAAAACACTGATTTATTTTTCAATCACTGTTGTCTTAAGTTTAAGATATTAATTTAAATTCTGCTGCTTCGGGATTTGAAAAAGCAGTATCCAGGCTAATACTGCCTATTCCTCTGTCTTGAAAGTCAGTAAAAAATGATAATGTGAAAAGAATTTCTGATGAAATGCTTAAATACAAAACTTGTAAATGGCAAACATATTAGGAATACCATAAATATGATACTTGATAGACTAATTAAATATTGAATTTTAATTTAGAGCTGTTTTCTTCTGGTTGACAATTTGATAATAATTTTATTGACATAGTTTGGAATGCATTTCTTTATGAAAAATCTAATACTGAGATTTAGTGAAAACTAACAAATTTTAAAATATAAATATAAGCTACTGACCATGTTTCCACATGAATGAAAACACAGGACTAGTGTAAAGTTAGTAACTGATCTTTCAGGGGACAACTGGAATGCTGAGTAGGTGTTGGGACTGTTAGGTCCTATTCCTCTTGTGTCCTACAATTCTTACTGTTCAAATTCTCAAACCGTGTAGCCTCTGGATCCCTTTATTCTTTTAAAATTATTATTTATTATAATTTTAAAAAATTGAATGAAATTGTAGCATGTTTACAAACATGTTATATTTTTATTACAATATAATATTTTTGAAAGAAATTTTCCTTGGAGAAGAGTGGCACTGTTTTGCAGTTTTAAAACTCACTCTGTGCCGGCGCCGCGGCTCACTAGGCTAATCCTCCACCTTGTGGCGCCGCCACACCAGGTTCTAGTCCCGGTCGGGGCGCCGGATTCTGTCCCTGTTGCCCCTCTTCCAGGCCAGCTCTCTGCTGTGGCCCAGGAGTGCAGTGGAGGATGGCCCAGGTCCTTGGGCCCTGCACCCCATGGGAGACCAGGAGAAGCACCTGGCTCCTGCCGTCGGATCAGCGTGGTGTGCCGGCCGCAGCGCGCCAGCTGTGGCGGCCATTGGAGGGTGAACCAACGGCAAAAGGAAGACCTTTCTCTCTGTCTCTCTCTCTCACTGTCCACTCTGCCTGTCAAAAACAAACAAACAAACAAACAAAAACCTCACTCTGATGTCCATCTGAGTAAAAGATGAGCAGATTTGCACATCTCCTTCAACACTCAACCTGTTGCTCCATGCTATTTTGTTTTAATCATAAGCATAAACTCTAACTCCATCCAGATAGGAGGTTGAATAAGGAGAACTGGATAGATTCTCCTAAGGACATTAGCAACGCTCAAGTGTCCTTTGGCTACACTTTGAGAACCACTATCCTAGAGAAACTAAGCCACGGACAAGCTTGATATTCAGATTTCATACAGTAGAAGAGCCCAGCAGCTTGTTAAACACTGAAAGAATTTTGTGTCACTTCATAAATAACCATGACCCTAGTGCATCTGTGCTATCCCGCTTCCTTTCCCACTGTGGTGTCTCCTCCAGGACTTGCCGTGGTCTGACTTCAGCACTTACATCTCTCTGGACAATGCCTGTGCCACACTGGTGGTGAAAGTTTCCCACGTGATCTGCAGCTCAGAAGTAGCCTGACTTTATCACAGCTATGACCTCACTCCCCTACCCCCATGATACTATAGTGCCAGATGATCTATTACCCGTGAAACTGTATTTTCAGATATGCAAGCAAAATGCTGCCCAAATTGACCTTGTTTGTACTTCTCTTCAGTCAGTTGATCTGGGACCAAGAATGTTCCTAACCAGTTACAAATGGATATTGGACACATAAAGGACTCTTATTGCTCCTTTCTCTGTGTTCCCAAAATGATATATTTCCAATAACTACCAAGAAACCACCAAAGTTGTCTCTATATGCCTCAAATAATAAGAACAGCTGATCAAAAAGCAAATAGCTACATAAATTTCCCAG